GAGTCATTCGGACCCTGGTGAACCTGGAACACTTCCGTGTGCTCTTACAGAACCCGTCCACGGAGCGCGAGGCAGTTGTGCGAACAGAACATGCCGCATGGTTTAAAATTGAGCCGTGCGTGTTGGATCCTCTCACCAGACTCACCCAATCTGTGTGCTGAGCACCTCATCAGGGAGGCCGGCTTATATGAGGAAGAGCGTGGCATCCGGACTGGAGGAAGGCTTATGAACAACCTGCGATACGCAGATGCTGAAAGCGAGGACTTGCAGCACTGGCTGATGAAGATCAAGGATGATAACTTTCAGGATGGATCACCACTCAATAAGAAAACCAAAATCCTCACCGCTGGAGCAATAGGTAACTTCATGAAAAATGGAGAAAGGTTCGAGCTGTCAGGGATTTCCTCTTGCTTGGATCCACAATCACTGCGCATGGAAACAGCAGTCCAGAGACCAGAGGACCCACTGCATTGAGTAGATCCACTGCTCAAGACCGCTTTAAGCAAGGATGTTACTTTGAGGACTAAGGTGTGCCTGACTCAAGCCATGGTATTTTCGGTTCCCTCACATGCATGAGAAAGTTAGACATGGAACAAGGAGACCAAAGGAACGTCGATGCATTTGAATGACGGTGCTGGTGAGGAATATGAGCTGCTCACAGAACAAGCAGCTCTGTCTTGGGAGAACGACAGCCAGAGTGCTCCTTAGCAGGGTGCTTTGGACATGTTGTCAGGAGAGACCCGTCCCGAGAAAGACATCGTGCTCGGTCAAGAAGAGGATCAACGAAAAGTGGAAGACCCTCGATGCGATGGGTCCACACGGCGGCTGCAACAATGAGCAAGAACACAGCAAGCAGGAGGAAGGTGCAGGACCGGGCGGTGTGTTGCTCCGTGGTGCATGGAGTGGCTACGAGTTGGAGCTGACTGAAGGTACCAGGCAACAACATGCCCGTGGAGATGATCCTGTCTGGGCAAAGGGCTTCAGTTGTTGTTTAGGGGGCAGTAAGAGTGTCATGTGAGGGCCTAAGCCTAATCACCTTTGCGATCTAAAAAGAGCAGATGACACACAGAGAGCAAGCTTCAAAGGGGAAAGAGAGATGTCACACGGAACGACCGAGACCTCGCAAAATGTATAGAGGGAGGGGAGAAAGAGAGCCTTCCACTAGAGGCAGTACCCCAAATGAAAACATCCAGCCTCCCAAACGGAGAGACAATTTCTGTTCCCTGAAGTCATCTCCTTGTGGTATTTCTGTTGGGGAAACACGAAGAAATCAAAACAGCTTTAGAAAATCCAGAGCCGGAGAGAACCAGGGACCCTGTTCAGGCTCACAGGACGTGATCCTCAGGAGGTCCCCAGGTGACCAGCACCTGACACATGTACAACCCCACAGCCTTCCACACTACCAGGGGCCCTTCAGACACAATCCTGAATGCAACTCACTGCCACGGAGTTGATGCCAACCCTGTAGGACAGGGTAGCTCTGCCCCCGTGGGTTTCCAAGTCTGTAACGCTCTACCAGAGTAGACAGCCTCATCTTTCTCCCGAAGAGCGGTGGGAGGTTTTAAACTGCTGACCTTGGGGATTGCGCCCCAATGAGGAACCCACTACATCACCAGGGCTCCTTTGGGGCTGGAGGAGAGGGATGGAAACAGCCTCTTCAGAAGTACAGAGACCTGAGCTGGTGGACGTGGGAGGAACAATAGCTTCCCATCTCGATATGTTCATTGAAGAAAGGCTTTGATGGTTTTGTACCAAGCACCTTTTGACCTAACCTTTGGACCTGCACCTAACACCAGCAACGCTTGGTGTGTTTGAGGGGGAATGAGGGGCTGGTGGGCCCAGGGTCTCCTTTGGGGGTGCAGTGCAGGTTTTAGAATGAGATAGCCGTGTTAGGCACACATCGTGGTGAGCAGTACATCTGTAAGGCCCCCTGTAAAGGGTGAAGCGGATGGCTTGTGAATTTCACCTCGGTGTAATAAGTCGTCCCCACGGAGCCGGCCTGCCCACGGGCACCGGCCCCTTTAAGGCAGCTTGGGGCTCCGTGCTCACGTTCGGAAATTAAGACCTAGTTCTCCGGAGATTCCGGGCAGCCTCCTGGAGCCTGGATGGCCCGTTCTGGGCAGGCGCATTGCAGGGCGCACTGGGCAAGTGGAGGGCTCACGCTCCAGGTCTGCTGACTCAGGGAGGCCAGCAGTGGACCCAGTCTGCAGCTGGGCGGAAAGCAGAGGGCACGGACCAGGAGGTTAAGTTCATGCCTGGTTTCCTGTTCCTCTGAGGGCGGGCAGAGAGCCTTTCTCTCCCCTCTTCTCCCTTCCTTTCCCCCTCTCTTGTACTGAAAGTTCTGTGAGTAATCCCTGAAGCTTGGGGGAGGGGCCCAAGACCACTCTGCACTCATGG